CAATATTCTGACTACCCACAAATTATATGGTAGAATACTGAATCGTCAAAAGGAATAATTATGATGAAGGAAAATTACTAAAAGGTTTAAGAGGACAGAAATCGCTGGCCTAATAACCAAATCAAAACATTGAACAGAGGGGCCCATTGCATAATGTTGATTCAAAGTTCACTCTCTGGTATGATTGGTTGCAGAAACAATGTTTTCTTTTTATAATTTTTTTTTCATTTGTTTATTTATTTTGGATTTAATTTAAAGTTTCTTTATTTGTTCCCCAAATCTGAGACTACCATTTGAAATTTTGATTGTTAAAAAAAGGGTTCATAAGTGGTGGCCCAAGGGGAAAGAAAACTCCCACTTCAGAAGGTTGAGCATGTAATTATAAATCCAGTTGTATAGTTTTTGGGGTTGACACCTGTCCTAGAATGTTTTAGGTACAAAAAGTTTTACCTAGCTATACTGCACTTTTTTCTTTGGGTCAGCTATTTAATTGCCTTGTGTTCTGATAATTGGAGCACCTTCTTTCCCTTGCATAAGGACAATGCCATGCCATCCTTCCAATTTCCCACTCATTTCTCTTTGCATTAATCAAAAGAATTTGGGTCTCTTTTCTAAAACTACTACAATAAAGGCAAAGGGTAAGAAATTTACCATTTTGAAAGAAAAAGTTTTCAATTTTTCATACACAACAAATAGATGTAACTCAATTCGTTTGTGTATAGAGGAATGAAGGTTAATATCTTTTTCATAGTCAAAATCTATCTTTAACTTTTTTTGTGCTGAATTTTTATGTAAATGTAGTTTTCATTGATTTGAGAAATGATTTATGATGTACCCTTTTTTTCTTTTCTATTTTTACATTTAAAAATAGAAAAGAAAAAATTATTGCTGATGGTGAAATGCCATATTGGATCTAATAACTGTTTCTTTCTGCTTGCAGTGCTACTGAAATTATTAATCAAAGGGATGGCCACAGTGTAGTTCAGAGTTTGCAGAGAAAAAACAAAGGATTGGTTTATCATTCAATACAGTTTGGGGTTGTTTCCTCAATTTATTGTTATATCTTGATGTGGAGTTAATTCAATCCTTAGTTTGTACTCTGTATGTACACAACAGTGAAAGTTTTGAATCCTTTGCCTTCCCAATTCAGGACCCTTCTTTTGTTTTTTTTTCTTCTAAACGTGAGAAATGTAAGAAAATCACCTAATTTTTTTCCAAATGAGTTTGTTTTGATTATTTAACTATAGCATTATCAATAATACATCTACACATGTAATTCTTAATGATGAGTTCAATTCTTGGAAAATCTGAGATTTGGGTTTGAACTTTTGAATGCTTATAGAACATTTCCTTTGTACAAAAGTGTTAATCTTTGGTTACCTTATTTAGTTTGGATTAGATTCTAGTTTCAATAACTTTACCCTTGATGTTATTTTTCTTAAAAGGAAAAAAGAAGAAATAAAAAAGGTAATGCTAACTCCAAAGTTATGAACATGGACCAGATCAAAGTTCCCGTCACATTCACTTCATTTCATACCCTAAAGCATAACACCAAGGTGGGTACCCCATGTATCATGATTCACAGCAGGTTTGGGAAAAATCACTTGTCTTGGAACCAAAGCGGGGTTTCTTGAGAGGAAGAAAAATCATCTTTTAATCTTAATAATAAAACATATATCAATATGAAGATTGAAAAGAAAGTGTGGGTGGTCCCATGAGGAAACCCCAAATTTAATTGAGTGAGCTAACCTGATAAGCAACTTGCCAAGACTAGCCCTGTCTTGCTCCCGTTCCTCAACTGATTGGATATGTATGCCCCCTTCTTCTCCTCCCTTTTTTGGTTTTTCTCCCTCTCTAATTCTCCATCCGTTCTAGCTAGCCCCTTTGAATCTCCATATGAACAATTATTCCTTACATCATTTTCATTTTGTTAGAGGCTCTGGACCATCCAGTTGTATCCATCTAAGATCATTAAGAAGAAAATGAAACATTCCCCTATAGATGGGATTTCTAGGGTAGTTTCTTGATGTGATGATAGGGATGTGGCTTCACTAATCTAACCATGCCATAGCATTTGCTTCGTTACCATCCATGGACCCATATATATGATCAACATAGACTTTTAATTATACGTATTATTTTTTATATTTCGATCACAAAATTAATGTAATTTCAAGCATATCCATTAAACTGTAATTAATTAAATAGATACACAATAAACTTTAAAAATTGTATGGGTCACACTGTATTCTACATTTTACTTGGAAGTCCTTGTTTTAGTGTAGAAGAGGGAGCAAGTAAGTTGTCACCCACCACCGACCTCCCCCTCCACAACCAAATCCCGAGCTTCCCTAATTTACTCAGCAAGGTTTTGATTCTGAGAAGATGCCTTTGTTTCCTTCGCAAAATTGGCAAGTGTGATCATAATTTTGAGCTGGGATCCGAATACTGTTTTAATGGTATTCACATGTGAAAAAGCTTCTAGTTATAAGCCCGAATTATATTTGCATTTATGCAGATGCTTATCCATTTACATATAAAAACAATCTCAGGTATTAATTTCCTTTTCTTGCAAAAAATATTATGTTACATATTTCCATTTTTTTTCCAAGGTCAAAATTGTATTAAATAAATATAATTCCTATGATCATGTTATGTACCTTAACTTCCGAAGAATTAATACAAATTAAAGTTCTAATTGGTATTAGCATTATTTTAAGGGGAGGCGATCTTATTTTATACTCCATAATTAAAGGGTGTGCTCATGGTCCTAGATCAAAGATAATGGAGGGCCGGGGCGTTTGAATCAATGCCCCTTAAACAAAGTTCCTTGGCTTCTTCTTCTTCTTCACTTTCCAATGAAAATCTCAAAAGACCAACATCCTCTTAACATGTCCCATTCTCCAAAAACCCACGAGCACCCTTCTCAACCCCATTTTCATACTATTATTTGAAACATAACCCAATATAGCTAAGATTTCTGGTCCCCCATCTAGAAAAGGAACATTCAATGTAAAAGAAAATTAAACCCCCCACGCCCCACGCCCCCCTCCTCCTCCTCCTCCATCCCCCCCATTTTTT